AGTGATTTTAAGAAAATAAATAATATAGTAAAAACATTTATGTCCAAAATAAATAAAACAAGTATCTATTTATAAAGTAATGATCAATTTTTTGATTAATAGGGCTAAAAACAAAACAAAATACAAAACAAGGATATTTATACTATACATATATACCACTAAATTGATGTCATCCGAAGCCACTTCAAACGAAAACACAACCGATTTTAGACATAAGAAGTAGAAAAAAAAAACTAAAAAGTAAAATAAAAATACTTGGATAAATAAATAAGTGCATTCACCAGAATAATTTGGCCTACAAGAATTGAAGACTTTTGAAATGTAAGGTTACAAAAGCTACTATTTGACCTAAATCAAAATTAAACAAATAACAATAAACATTTTATATACTAAATTAATACAAAACAACAGTAAAAACAAAAAAAAAATCAAAATATGAATTTTAAAATATAAAAAAACAATCATAAAACTCCCGCGCGGCAGCGCGGTCAACAACTAGTATATTATAAAACTAAAAAAGATAATTGATTAAGAGTTAAAAAAAAGAGAATTTTTGAGAAATACCCCTTTTGGTGTACCCCTTTTTAAAAATACCCCTCTTTTCTATCCATTTTCAAAAATACCCCTTTTCAAATATGAAAAATTATAAACTTTTATATGGTTAATAAGGTACATAGAGGTCATCATTACTACTAGAAGCCTAAATCCAAATATTTATAAGGTTTTAAAAGGTTGTAAACGGCATTTATAATGTTTTTATAAGATTTTTAAAAGGTTTACACAGTTTTTATAAGGTTTTTAAAATGTATTTATATGGTATTTATGAAATATATATATAAATTTACACACATATAAAGATAATTTGTGTCTATAAATATAAGTTTACACATATGTTTTTGATAAATTTTAAATTTTATAGTGACTTTTTGATAAATCTAGAAAGAGGGGTATTTTTAAAAAGTGGTATTGGAAAAGGGGTATTTTTGAAATTCTCCCTTAAAAAAACTTACTAATTATCGATTATACTAACAAATATAATGTATAATATAAACCCCACATCATCATTCATCTTAATTTTTACATTGATTTAGGATTACAACACTTTAGTTTTTAATTTCTTTTCTACCTCATAACTTAGCTTTTATTTTATTTTTATATTCATTAGTGGTTTTAAGAAAATAAATAATATAGTAAAAAATATTTATGTCCAAAATAAATAAAACAAGTATCTATTTATAAAGTAATGATCAATTTTTGATTAATGGGGCTAAATACAAAAACAAAATACAAAGCAAGGATGTTTATACTATACAGATAGATATACCACTAAATTGATGTAATCCGAAGCGACCTCAAACGAAAACACAACCGATTTTAGGCATAAGAAGTAGAAAAAAGAACTAAAAAGTAAAATGAAAACACTTGGATAAATAAATAAGTGGATTCACCAGAATAATTTGGCCAACAAGAATTGAAGGCTTTTGAAATGTAAGGTTCTAACAGCTACTATTTGACCTAAATCAAAGTTAAAAAAATAAAAATAAACATTTCATATACTAAATTAATACAAAAACAACAGTAAAAACAAAAAAAAAAAAAACAAAAAACAAAGAAAAATCAAAATATAAATTTTAAAATACAAAAAACAATTATAAAACTCCCGCGCGCAGCGCGGGTCAACAACTCGTGTTAAATACAAATAAAGTCATTTGTAAAGTATTTTATATAATAACTCAAATGAACGTAAAGAATTAAAAAAAAAAATTATAGCATCGTGGAGGAAAGCATTAAAGTTTACTTTTCCTAAATACCAAAATATAAAAGATTAGAGATTTGAAAGAGTTTATGTTTTAAAAATAATTAAATTACAAATTATGTCGAACTTTTCTTATCCTTTCTAAATCATTAAATGCCTTTTCAGAACTATTTTGTTCACCCCTTCTAATTTTAGCTGATGAACTTGGTTGTAATTTATTTTTATTTTATTTAAAAAATCTCATTACAGACAACTCGATGTGTAATCAACCAATTATTTATCTTAAATGAAATATTGTGACTTGGGATGTGTTACATCACAGAGATTATAATAAAATGTAAAAGACTTTTGCATATACATATACTTTTGAAATTCCAATAAATTTTTTTATTTATAAATTATATCTTAAAATCTTGACAACCAGAGTAAAAGAAATATGTTTGAAGACTAGTTCCAATCATATAAACTTTGCTTCATGAGCATCATTTGTGAGATAGATCCCATCATCTTTAGCACCAAATCTCATAAAATAAGGAGTTTGTTTGTATGCTGTAAATGTTTTAGAATAGCATACAATCAAATTAAGTCCCACCAAATAATTAAGAACGATGCACAAGAACATGTGAATACCAAGATCGTCTTTCTTAGACCTACAATGGATAGTAAGAAGATCAGAGTTCTTGCTAAACGAGTTTCTGAAATACATTTTATTTTTCGGAAACAGTACTATGCTAGCGTTGTTAGATCCAAGTATCCAACACATAAAGCAATTACAATGACTAAATCAATTAGTTATTCATAAATATATGCCAAAAACAAGTTCACCTAAGAAGTCTATTTACTATAAATTAATATACCTTCCTCATTTACTAGGATAAATTAAGTAAATATAGAACTTAATTACTAACAAAAATCTTTGACTCTTTTAATTTAGGTAACAACTTAGCTAAATTTCCAAGTCCCCAACTATAGTTCAAATGGATATTATAAGTTATTACAACATAAATATATAACTTAATTAAAAAAAATCTTTGACTCGTGTTAATTAGGTAACAAATTAACTAAATTGCCAAGTAGCCAACTTTATTTCCAACTAGATTTGGACGCGTCTGATGGACGAGTTATCTATATTAAAAAAACAAATTTAAAACTTTAATACAACAAAATGATATCCAATCTTTTTTTTTTAAGCGAATAGATTTGTTTTTTCTCCGAAAAACTAATTTACGTGTATATATATAAATCGTTATTAAACAAATATTATAAAAATCTAGTATAAATTGTTGATCACCAAAAAACTTTGCAAACTATTCACCATTATTCATAATTTCTATATCAATATCGCATATAATTGTGACTACAAAATTTATTGGAGGATCGGTAAAAAGTCACCACATGATATCTCCTTGTGTTTTGTTCTCACTCGTACAATTCCAAAAGTCACTTTCATGAGGATCACCCATCCTGAAACTACTCCAACATAAACATGCTAAACTGTGGAGTTTTCTCAGGATCTCTGACTGAAAGAATAAGTGTATTTTGGTGACATAAGTGGCCAAATCAATTATCTTAAAGCTCTCCGCAAGTATTGAAACCAGGGTATTATAATTCACCTCCACCAACAGACCGTAAAGTATTTTTTTCTAGTTTGAATATTTACTATTTTTTTAAATTCTTGATTTATTATTTATCGCAAATTATGATAATTGTTACAATGACGATTCTAACAGAAAATTCTCTCCAACCCTATTAGATTCACCACAGAATACGCTTTTTTTACGACACCTCCTTATCTATGCGTAGAATCACGGCGAACTACGGTAATTGTGCATTGTTGTACATATGGGCGTCTGGGCGTCGAACCTCAGACCTCTTGGTGTAGAAACTTTAAACAATCATTGGTCAACCACTAGACCAAATGTGCTTACACAATACATTTACCATTTAAAAATAAGAATTTCTTTTATAATTGTCTTTTTTGGACTTAAGTTTTTGTACACTAAATTTTCTATTATATATAAAATTTATAAGGATTATATTTAGTTTGTAGGATGTTTTTAATTTACTATAGTGATAGTGATGGGGCATATATTTACATACAAGTTTCAAATTTTTTTTTATTTTTTTTTTATTTTATTGGATTGTACTATTTGTAAACTGTTCTATTCCTACTGATTATTAATTTCTTGACGATTTGTTTATGAAGGTTTTACTGTATTTGGGAAGAGCCTAAAAATTTTCAAAGCACAAAATAAAATAAAGTATGTTTTACAATTTCGTCATCTTCTGTTATTCTCTTTCTCGCCTTTGCATTTCTTTACACTTCTTCAAAGTTAACTCTCTTATTTCATTTACCCATCCACTGATAGGTCCCAATCAAGAGCTTATAAGAACAATAGACTTTAAACATTTTTTCTATATATTTCATCATAAGATGTTATGAGTATTTATACATGTTAAGGGCAATCCTAAAATATAGGAGATAGACATGAATAGAAGATTTAACATAATCTACCTAAAACAACTAACAACAATAAGATCACAAATGATATTCTCATTGTTTCATCCTTATCTTAATTGATACCGGTTTACTTCGGTTATGTTCTCATCAATACTCCACCCTCCAAAAGAACTTTGTCCTCAAAGTTCATAAGAAACCTCATGCATCTTCTTGGATAGCTTCTTCCCATCTTCTCCGCTTGTGTCATCTTCTCTGACTAGAAGATCAAAGGGCAGCTTCCCGTGGCTTCTATTTTTTTTTTTTTAAATATGAAAGATATAGATTTTGATACCACAAATGTGGTCCGGATCAAAACCGAGAAAGATGATAAAATTAGGGTTTGATACCACAAGCGTGGTCCAGATCAAAACCAAGATAAATAGTGGATGAAGGTTGCTATTGATACCACAAAGTGCTCCGAATCAAAAGCGAGATGAAGCCTCTAATACCAATTGATAGGTCCCAATCAAGAGCTTATAAGAACAATAGAATTTAAACATTTTTTCATCGTTTCATCCTTATCTTAATTGATACCGGTTTACTTCGGTTATGTTCTCATCATCTACCGTTACATTTCTCGCCTTTGCATTTCTTATTACATGTAATTTTAATGGGAGGTGATGTGAGCGATGACTAATGATTTTCTTCTAATTCTCGGATTGACCAAACATTATATCACATAGATTGCAAACATAAGCCATTTTCATATAATTTCTAAAATATAATAATATATATTTTCTCATAATTTATATTTTGAAATCTGTTGACATCAAAAGTAAAAGACATAATGGCTTGAAGACTAAGATTTTACCAAGAATACATAAACTTTGGACCATGATCATCATTTGAAAGATAGATCCCATCAGTTCTAGCATCCCAACGGGTTAGGGCACCAAATTTTATGTAAAAATAAGGATCTTCTTGATAAGCAGTAAAAGTAACCGAAGATTTAAAACGAATCCCATGCGAAAGTGTGCAAACAAACTTAGTCTCACCAAAAAAGCTATCACCAAATTGAAAAGAATATAAGTCACCATAATGCACTAAGTGAACACCAAGATCGTCTTTTTCAGACTTACAATGAACCGTGAGAACATCATCATTCCTACCAAGAGTGTTTAAGAAGGTTATTCGATTTTTCGGAAAAATTTTACTAGCGTTGTTCGATCCAACACTCAAAGAAATTACAATGATTAAGACAAAGAAATTTTTCATAATTTTGAACAATCTATTCTATTTTTTTTGTTTTTGTTTAAGTTTGAAAAAACTAATTTACCCTTAGATATATATAAGATTTTTGAGCTAATATCTTAGATATTTATTAGAGTAATTTGGTAACAAATGTAAATCAAACATAATGTAAAAGCCTCAAGGAATCTTTGACTATATATTAATTTGGTAACACCTTAATTAAAAAGAGTAAATGATACAATTCCTTTTCATTTTTTTCCTTTTCTAAATGATAAATTTGACTTCATAGGTCTGTGTTACATATAATTTAATTTCTAAAAAACTACAATATAAAAGAAGTTGAATCTATATAATTAATTATAAATTAAATATTAGTATAATATCTGTCGTTTAAATATTAAATATTAGTTTACAAAATTGATACAGTAAATATCCTAAAAGACTTTTGTGATAAAATAATAAAATAATATTTAGTCCATCCAAGAAAATATCTTGCATAATCAACGCTTAATTAACTTAATATTTTTTATCAACAGTTAATTAACTTAAAATGATTCAGTAACAAGCTTTAGCAACAATTTAATTACAGTAAAAGGTCTATAAAATTGATATTATTTATAAAAATAGTAATTTGTTAATAAATTAATAATTTAATTAAGGAGAATTACACTTAATCTATATATATAAAGTTAGCTTTTTCTCTCTTCTCATGATGTCACCTAAGCATCCACCTAAGCCACATTTTTATTTACATTAAAATAAATTTAAAACATTCATTTAGTGCATATTTATGCTACTTATTTAATTAATAGAAAATTTATATAAATAAAAATAAATTATGTAAATAAATGAAATGTTAAATAAGAAATACTTTCATTTTTATTAGTTAGTGGTAATAATATAATTCAACTTTCATTTTAAGTTAATCATAGTTTAAAATTTTAAATGTGTTACTGAGTTTAAAAATGTAAGTAAATTTTAAATTTATGGTAGAATAAAAACAACATTTATGTAATTGTATATATAAAATTTTAAAGGGGGAAAATAAAACAGAAAGTGAAATATTAGTTTATAACATGATCAAAAAGAAAATGCTTTTAGTCCAAATTTAAATATTGAAAGATAATAATTCAAGAGAAAATAACTATAATATGTTTTGAAAATCAATTAAAAACAAATAAAATATCATAATATGAATAAAAAATTAACAAAAAATTATAAACCTCCCGCGCGCAGCGCGGGTCAATTACTAGTAACACATAAAAGACAGCTAGTGAGTAGTGACTATAACACCATTACAGTATTTGACAATCACACTACGAAGATAACCCATAAAAAAATTCAAAAGAGTTTGAACTCTATTTTTATTTATGTATATACAAAGATTGCCATTTCTAATTAAAAAAAAATATTTTTAAAAAACCTTAAATGCAAGATCTTATACAAAAATTGGAGTTTAAATTTTTTTAAACAGTACGCATTTATCGGAAGTTGTATATTTGATCATAAATAATTCTTACTCTTCTTTAGCTACATTATTCAAGCACATCCCTTAAAAGTTGTATGAAAAAAATAAGATTATTGAAACTCATTATCTTGCAACCATTAGAAAATAAGATTCACTTTTTAATAACAAAAAAAATATATTTTTCATTCTATGTTAATCTTCCCTATTTAATAAAATTTTCTAATAATAATATCTAAAATTTTGCTTTAACATATTTTAGAGCATCCCCATCGGTTCACATACCCAAAAGAGTATCACAATAATTAATTATTATATTGTAATATAATTTAATTATGCCATTCAATTTTATTTGTTTTATAAATTTGATCATTTAGCAAGAGAGTATCTGGTTGGTTTCTAAAAATTTATCATCCGAGAAACGGTTCTAACATTCAACATTTTCTTTCGCACTCTTTCTATTTATTTTATTAATAAAATGTTTGAGAAACTCACATTCATCATGCCAATGGAAATATTCTTATGGTAAGATGTGAAACTCCAGTTTGCGAAAAGATTTAAATGAATTGATTTAGTCATCTATGCTACCAAAGTGTATTTATATTTTCGGTCAAATGTCTTGAGAGAACTCCACAGTTAAGCGTGTCTATGCTGGAGTAGTCAAAAGATGGGTGACCTTCGGGGAAGTGGTTGTCGGAACTGTGTAAGTGAGGCCAAAACTAGGAAAAGATCATGTGGTGATTTGTAGGGTCAGTAAACAAGTCTTTAAGTCTCTCGGACGTAACTAACCGGCTGTCGGGTATTAATGGGCTCATGGGCCTAGTGAGAGGACGTGAGGCCCATTAAAAAAAGTGGGCCCATAGGCTGGTGGTGAACACGGGGCCCACTGGAGACATGGCGGTCGGGGCGTTACAATTGGTATCAGAGCCGAACCCAGACAAGTGTGGAGTGGTGGACTCACACTATCAGGGCGTGACGATCGTTGTGCGCAACAAGAACGTTGCTGTTTGTTAGTGGGGGAGAATTGTGAGACCCCAGGTTGCGGAGATATTTAAATGAATTGATTTGACCACCTATGTCACCAAAGTGCACTTATCTTTTCGGTCAAAGGTCATGAGAGAACTCTACAGTTAAGCATGCTTATGCTGGAGTAGTCAAAAGATGAGTGACCGTCTGGGAAGTGGTTGTCGGAACTGTGTGAATAAGGCCAAAACACAAGAAAAAATTATGTGGTGATTTGTAGGGTCGGTAAACAAGTCTTTAAGCCTCCCGAACGTATCTAACCGGCCATCAGATATTAATACGCTCATGGGTCTAATGAGAGGTCATGAAGTCCATTTAGAAAGATGGACCCATGGGCTGGTGGTGAACATGGGACCCACTGGAGAAATGGCGGTCGGGGCGTTACATAAAATAAAAAAATTATTCGGATTGTGATAACTAAAGTGTGGTAGAGCCAAGAAGAAGACCCAAGCATGGTAAACTAGAGAAGACTCTGAGTAATATTCTTCAATAGAATCATTAAATACTAATACTAGCTATCAATACACCTTCATGCATATGATAGAAAAAACCATACATGCATAACAAAAATTCCTTTAGTATTTTTCTAATCTATCAATATTAATGTTATGTTTACGTTAAATACTTTTGTAGTGTTTTCTTTATTCATACATACGATGTTCAGTAATGTAAGAGTATTTTTTAGTTTCGAAATCATACGTTGCGTGTTAGTCACTAATGTGCAACTTCCTTTAGTAGTCACATCATCGTTGCTTATATGTGACTATAGTACTGAATCGAAAACTAGTCGCTGATTCGTGACCATTAAACGACTGAAACATTTAACGATCATTTTTCTGCGACCATTTATGTTAGTCGGTAAATAGTCGCAAAGCACTATTTAGTGATGTTTATGGGATTTCCAAAATGATGATTTTTTGTAGTTGCATATATGCTGTATTATTTTATGTAATGAGGTATAACAATTCTTCATATTTCTCTTTAAGTTTATAACACATTATTAATATGAGTCTCTAAACCGTCTTTGAGTTAAAAGAGATCACCACCGCCCAAAAATCTAACAGACGCGTCATCGTTTATGAATAATATCGACATATGGTTTTGTTGTTACTCTAGACTCTAGAAATACGTGTTTGAATTATAAGTTATGAATCTTCAACTCCTGTGACATGTTAATAGTTTTATTATTTGTTTTAATTCATGAGTGTTTCATGGAAACTTTATTGATTTATTTATGCAGAGGAGACCTGTTCGTAAAAAAAATACAATTATTTGTGCCTTTTACCACCTCAGCAAAGTATCTCTGCCAAAATCTCTATCTGGTGCTATTCTTGCTTGTGCCACTCCGGTTTCTAGAAAATGCGGCCAAAGTGTACTTATCTTTCAAATTGATTTAGCCACTTATTGCCAAAGTGTACTTATCTTTCCAGTCAAAGGTTTTAAGAAATCTCCACAGTTAAACGTGTTTGTGTTCGAGTAGTCTAAATATGGTTGACCTTCCAATAAGTGTCGAAACTGTGCGAGTGGACAAAATACAAAGGCGAATTTTAAGGTCGATACACAAATGTTTAAAAGCTTCTGAGATGTAACAAAGTTGCGGTCTGATAAGAGTAGGCCCACAGGCCTTGTACGAGGATTTGGGGTCCATTAAAAAAATGGGTCTATTGACTGAGAGTATACGTGGGATCCACTAAAAAGTGGCGGTCGGAACATTACTAGTGGCATTAGAGCCTAATCTACACGAATGTATAGTCAAGTGAGCTCACATCATCAAGGAGTGACGCCCTTGGTGCGCAACGAAAACGTTGCAGTCTGTTAGTGAGGTGTTAATTGTGACATCCTAGTTTTAGGAAAACTGATTGACTTCCTACACAACAATAATTTTTGTTTCCAGGGTGGATCGAACCTGGGTTAGTTCCTTCCAACCTTTCCTCAATTCTCTCTTACCACTGGACCACTGCTGTGTGGGGAGAAATTTAGTTTGGACTGACATTGATTAAGCATGATAGACCTTCACAGAAAACTTAGACAATCAGCTTAGTCATTACATTAAGCATGATAGACCTTCTTTGTTTGCAAAATATGGATTGAGCATAATATAGGTGATAAGTCAAAGTTATGATGAAGCAAGCAAAATGAGAGGTGAGTTTAACGGGTTAAGGTCATCAATATCAAAGGAAACCCCATCAGCATATTATGTTCATTGTTTTGCAATTTTGATGTTAGATATTTTTTTTTGTTAATTATTTGTTGCTAAATGTGGTGGGAGCCTCGTAAAAGGAAAGACATGATCGGAAAAAGTTACACATAAGAATTTGAAAAAGGAAACAATAATGGTGAGATCAGTATTGGAACAAGGTTGAATCAAGAGGTTTCTTTTCATAGACCAGGAAATACAAGATGGAATTGATCGAACTATACTTATGTATCGTCATAGTGCTCGAGTACATTGAAAATGATGGTTCAGAATACTTGAAAAGGCGTCAACCAAGTGGTCTCCTCAAGCATTTTCACAGTTTTAATTTTTAATTTTACTAGCA